ATATATATATATATATATATTGAAAATATATATATCATAAAGAAATGATGAAGTTCAACATTATATAAGAAAAAAAAAACCTATAAAATTAAATTTCTTAAAATTTTAGATTAAAAATGATGTTAATTTTTTCTATGATTTGAACTCATGTGAAATATATACAATTGTTCTCTAAAGATACCTCTACAAAAAGATTCATTAAAATCTTATTTAAAGTTTAGTTCTGCATAATATAAAGAAAATATATTTGCTTTTAGTTTCGATTTGATTTATAGATGATTATTTGTTTGTGAATTAAATTAAGATTCTTGTTGGTGCAAAGTTGTGCAAAGTTAAGGATTGCATTGTTTGCTTTTAGAAAATACGTGAAAGGTTCGGAAAATAAAATTTATGTAATTTTGAAATGAAAATGTTACAATATTTATGAATCTCTTTTTATTTTGAATCCTTCTTAGTATTTTGTAATTTGTAAAATCCAAATTTATAATGTTTGCATTATATTGAGTAATTTGGTGTTTAAATTATAATTTGCCAGATGATTAAAAGGTTGGATGAATGAGTTATAGTAGTTAAAATTGTGAATGAGGATAATGGTTATATTTATACCTATATTGAACCAAAGAATTAAAACCAATGATAAATAAAAGTTAAGTACCTAAAATTGGTAAGTTTGTTCATGAACTAAAATTAATAAAAGAAGTATTAAAAACCTAAGAGTCTATCTTGTAAAAGAATAACTGACTAAAAATATATACATATTATTGTTACATCATGCACATGATCCACCAGTATTCTAAACCTTTTACTATTTCCAGTCCAATTTGATAGTGGAAGGATTATTTCTGTAACATCCAGATTTTATGTATAATATTTTCATCAAAAAATGTCTTATCTAATCTATAATATTAATAAAAATTTTATTTTATGTATAATTATAATACTCACTCTTTTAACTATATTTAAGTTTTTCTATTTAATTATGTTTTTATAAGTAAGTTGATAAATTACAAAAGAAAAAGTTTAAATATATATATATATATATATATATATATATATATATATATATATAAAAGATAATTTTGAGATACTAATTAGTTCCTATTTCTAAGTTGTCTTAGTAAATTCTCGTCACAACATTATGAACTATTGGATTATACTGTAATTTTTATAGAGTATTATTGAATTACAGTTATGCACTTTATATTTATAATTGAAGATTTATATTAAGTGAAATAATTTTTGCATTTTAGTGTAAAAATTAGATCTTCACATATTGTCCAATTTTGAGTTGTCTTGAGAAAATCTTATTTCAGTTTCATTAACCGTTTGATCCAGATGAAAATTTTATCAAAAGTTTTTAAAATATGATACTTTATTTTGATTGTTGAGATTTCCATTTAAAGGTCTATAGTTAGAAAAATAATTCTCGTAGTTGAACTAACATCACTATTTCCTGTTTTGAGTTACTTTAAACAATTTGATTCCAATTTCGTTAAACGTTAGATCGAGTTCAAACTTTTAAATCATGTTTTTTTAGATAATATTATTCGCTCTAAAATTTCATATTTAAATATGTAATAAGAAATATAAACTTTGTAATTGGAATAAGACGTGAAATACCATAAATAAATATTTAAATATGTAAATAGTAAATTATTATTTTACTATTACATATTAAAATATTTAAATAGTAAATAATGATTTTACTATTATATATTAAAATAATTTTATTAATTTTGAAATAGTTTGATATGTATATTGTATGTATATAAGTTTTGTAAAAATTAAAAAATAAATTTATTTGATAAGGTTAAAAATACATTTGTTAGTTTAAATTTTACGAAGTTAATACAATTATTAGTTTAAATTTTGGAGTGTTACAATTTCACAAGTTAACTATTTATACTCAACTTATTGATTTACCGTATTATATTATTAAAAATTACACGACAATATTATTTAACGATGATATTTAAAAATAATAATTCAAATATTAACGAAAAAGTATAATAATCAAAACCAGGCGAATTTTTCTAAGACTAAAAATAAGAAACAAAACAAAATATTATAAACTTTTTCCATCATGGTATCTAAACCTTATTCATTATAATAATAAAGGGTTTTGTACTACATAACTTATTTTTATTGTAAACAATATAAAATGATAAATTACATTCAATTACAAATATAAAAACATCACATTTGTCATAAAGGCGGCAACGAAATGGTTAGCGTGCATAAAAAATTAAGAGAGAAGTGAATTGGTTTTTAATTAAAATTTCTACTCAATTTAACTTACTAAGCAAATAATAATGACAAAATAAAAAGAGTAACGTTGAGAGAAATTTGCCCAGATGATTTTATCCTGGTTCGAATCTTACCAATCCTACATATAGTCGCTTATCTCAAAACAAGAGAAACAATTCACTACTCAGAAAACAATTACAACTTACAATCGCACACAAACAATTTGTAAAAGTGTTATTCCTTTGTCACCGTAGCAGCACTTCAACAGCTCCACAAACAAAAGTTTCTTTAGCCGAACAAGAGCATACAATTCTCAAGAGTTTCTAAGTTCTAGAGCACAAGGAAAGAGTTGCATTGAAGAAAAAAGAGAGTCTATTTATAGACTCAAGCAAAGACTCTTTCATTATTCGTTTTCTGTCATTTGACGCTTTTAATCAATTAACTAATAGATTAAAATGAGTGCGACGGCTAAAAAACTCAATCTGTCAAATTTGAGTTTAATCTATTATTCCAGAGAAAGTTTGAGTTTTCAAGTTTTACTATGATTAATCGATTAATACTAGATTTAATTGATTAATACAGTGTGTTTTTTACTCTAAACATAAATTTAATAATTCAAAGAGACTTGGAATCAAAACCACTAAGAACCTAAACTATATTTATTACAAAAGCTTTTTATTACACTGTAAGTTTTCAAAAATCTTCTTGAATCTTAATTTCTCTTTACTTAATTTGTACATCATCAAAATTTCATCTTCAATATTTTGCTAACAACATTTATACATTATCTCAGTTAAATGAACATTAATGATGGTATGAACACTCATACCCTAAAAGTACAATCATAGTCATATTAACTTGATAAAAAATAAATACTCCTTTTATAACATTAAGAATATTTTAAAGAGTAAAAGTCTACCCACTGACTAATTAAATAAAAGATACATTATCATGTAATAACAAATCATTATATATAGTAATTCTTTTTTACTTTTAAAACACGATCATAAAAAAAACTGTTTTATTGAAAAAACTTAATTGTAAAATTTTTATAGCATTTAAATCATTAATGAAATTAGAAGTCAATAAAAAAATTGATCTCTTATAATAATGTAATCTTCTCAAAATACCTGTGTCTTCATCTATAGATATATTCGCTTTTAGTTCATGTCATTTTTTCAAAGATGTGGTCAATGAATAAAATACAATTGGGACTTCCACAAAAAGCTAGATAAATATATGGTTTAATGTCTCGGTAGGTCCCTATTTTCGGCGTGAATCTCAAATAGGTCCCTTTTCTTTTCGGCGTCTCAATTGGGTCCCCATTTTTGTAAAATTGTAACAATTAGGGGTCTGCCGTCAAATTGGACAAACGGCCGTTTAATTGTTTCTTACGTGGCATGAACAGTGTTTTCAGTAATGACATGTGGCATGATTCCCATCTGACACGTAAGAAACAATTAAACGGCCGTTTGTCCAATTTGACGGCAGACCCCTAATTGTTACAATTTTACAAAAATGGGGACCCAATTGAGACGCCGAAAAGAAAAGGGACCTATTTGAGATTCACGCCGAAAATAGGGACCTACCGAGACATTAAACCTAAATATATTGACTACCTGCGGTCATTTTATAAATTAAGAATTTTAGAAAGAAAAAAATACAACTTACCAGAACCAAAATAGAGAATGACCAAAAACACATTTTGACGTGTTAAAATTAAAATTGAATTGGCCACAAGTAACTCCAGTGACGTTCTTGGAATGGAAAGGAGCGACATTGTAGGGTACCATATGAACTAGCACTGCCACATGCAAGACAAGAGATACAACGAATGCGAAATTATGGTTTCAATAAGCAAAACTTGATTTTGTAACAAGAATTACTAGCTTTAGATCCTACACGGTATAAAGGGAATAACAATTCTAATACTTTTTACTATTTTTGATTTAGGATATTTGGAACTAAATTACAACAAAATTGAGCCTGTTATAAGGCTTTGAAAAGGGTAAATCAATCATAAACCCTTGTTCTTTTTGCGTTTATGTCTATCACTGCCATCGTTGCCATCGCTTCCACCAGTCTTCCTAACTTTGCGCGGTCTTTTTGATGCCTGACAAAAATGTATAAAAGTCAGAATACAGAATAATCTAAAAGAATGTAACAAGTAAAGACACTATTCAGTATTATCTTCTGATCAGTGCAACATTGTATTCATATTTTATATGCATTCACAAGTGTTTTGTCCATCTTTGTTTCACAGTTAAAGATTCAGAAATGGCATAAAAGTGAGGTCAAAATGATGATAAAAGGTTGATCATACCAGAGCGGAGATAGCCTTCAGAGGGTCTCCATCTTTTCTTAATTTTCTCTTGGATCCTTTGCGGCGATTATTATTTCCCATTGCATCCCTCGCAAGTTTGACCATTTCCCTTGCCTCTTTCGTTTGTTTGTCTAATAGGTAGTCAGGCACATCACGCAGGTGCGGAGGTGGAGCATTCTTGCTCAAAACTTTGTCGTGCTTCAGTAGATCTGCTCAAATATGATTTCGATATTTTAAATTCAACTTCAATATTAACAGCAAGAAAGCCTTATCCATAATAAATGTGTCAATGACATATTTAACCATAATATCAACCAATTACATTACCTAGGTCTCTTGGATTAGTCTCAAAATGGGCTTTCAACCTTCAAAAAAACACAGGTATGCAGCAATAAATTAGAACGTGAATAAACTTAAGATCATAGTTAAAGTTTTCAATAATACACCAAATGATATACCAAGTACTCACTTTTCAGAGTTCAAAATTTCATTCCTCAAATCCTGGGCTCGTGATTCTCGGACTGCAATTCTGGTTACACTCTTGGCAACATCCTGCAAGAGAAAGTCAACATCCCATCAGTTGAAAAAGCAGCTGGTTAGATCAGATATTCTCGTGCATAGCATATCCACTTAAAAATCAGGTAAAAAGAGAAGGCGCATAGCAAGATATATTCTATACGCTATCCATTCAAAAGAAAAACATACGAGAGTATGCGCAACATGCAGGTCCATACACTCAAGTTTAACTGCGACATGAATGACAAGATAAGCGCAAAACAAATGCTTGACGTTTGGGTGGTCAAAAGCTTTTAAAATATTGACGCACATAAGATAATTTTTTTATCAAGCGGAATTTCAAGTTCAACAACCAAATACAGAAGGCAAAGTATACTAGTCAAGCAAAAAAGCTCTTATGTTGATGGATCACTAGAATTTTTTTAGCTTTTCATCTTCAACAATGAATAATGACAAATACCCAGTTTTGTGTACACAAATTACCCTTAACGCAGATGATAGCTCTCACTACCAAAAAATCGTCTCTAATCAAACTACATTTGTTAACTTTCAATAATCTATAAAACAGCTGGGATAAACTTCTATTCAAAATATTTCAACTGCTACCCACAAACAAATCACTCCCTCACGCATGTATGGATATTCATTTTAGCTGTTACCCACAACACAAGCAAATCACTCACCAATGCATGCCAATTAATAAGATAAAAATAAAAATAATATAAACTATACAAATTTAACTCAACAAAATAAGACAACAGGATGGAAGTACAGGCACACATGCGCCTCTTTCTTTCCGCTAGACAAGGGTAAAGATAATAAATCACCTCAGCTCTATACCGTAGAGATTCAACGGCATTCTTGGTGAGAAGGGGAAACTCGGCAACAGAACTTGTGCCTTTGTTTTCGTCATCTCCAACAAAAGATCTTACTTCTTCTAAAGTATCCATCTCATCCGGAGAAACCTGAGATGAAAAAACCAATATCTAAATCACACTAATATACAGATTGGTGCCATTTGGGATCTCCATGGAATACCCAACGGACAAGAGAGGAAAAATGCAACTAAGAATACACTTTAGAATTTAGGAAGAAAGAAAAAAAGTTGACTTTTGTCCCAGGAACTCACCAGAGAGACAGAAGTACCAGAATTGTATGCTCTTCCTGTTCGTCCAATTCGATGAACATATCCCTCAACATTTTGAGGCATTTCAAAGTTTATAACCTTTTCATCAACGAGAGAAAGCATTAACTAATTGATTTTAACACGGATGTAAACAAGATGCAATTTATCAAGTAACATAGTACTCCATGCTTGCTAACAATAGGATATGCAGAACAATTTGAAAAATGTCAACATCAGCGAGAGATACAGAGAGAACTTGCATACCGTGAATACATTTTTAAAGTCAACTCCCCTTACAACTCCAAATTCAGAATCTAATTTTACTTTAGCACGTTTTCTAGACTTCCGTGATACAACATTACTTTCCTTAGACACTTCATCCTTTTCCTTTGACTGACTAAGATCTGTTGCAATTAGATAATCAAATAGGCCCGCATTGAATTCCTGATAAAAACAGATTTGTAAACATCGTGTGAGAAAATGAAGATCCATAAATCATAATGAATTGTTAATAAAAATAACTTCTCAAGAAAACATGAACTCCTCGAGCTTTGTTGGCAGGAATTCTGAAGCACCAGGTTGTAGAAAGCTCTTAGCAGCTATTGCCCAAATAAAAGACGGAATTGAATAACATTGCCTACCTCCAGAATATGAAGACGGGAATTCTGAGGCAACTCAGGATTTAAAACAGCAGATCTGATCCCAAACTACAAGGACAAAAAAGGGGAAATGTGAGAGTAAGGAATAATGACAACAAAATAATCACATTGCCAGTATAGATGTTTTAAACCCATCGTTGATTCAAAACATAATCCAAACTTTTCAGAAAGATATATTGAAGGGGGAGTGGGGGATTATCCAATGAATTGATACAGTATGAAAATTGACATAAACAAAAATAGCAAAAATTCACGTTTAACTTGGGGAACAATATATTAGAACAAAAGTAAAGAAAAAGAGAAGATCTTATTTTTACAGGAATAAGCAGATGTGGAGGAGAAATACACACATCCAACAGTGGTAGCAAGTGTTCATGGAGGAGAAAGTGAGGAAGCAATCAACTTTGTTTTTGCATCTTCTTTCATCAAATTTTTTTCCCTTCATTTTCTTACATTCTAATCTCAAATCCTTTGAATCCACGAGAAGTAAAGGTTAACAATTGTTGTTTTGAGTTGAAACTTTAAAGGAGAAATGCCATTCTAAGGAACTTACGCGTATGAAATTGTTTGAGGTAAACCAACAACGAATTTGTTTTGGGATTTTGTTTTATGGCATGAATGGGTAACGGTTGTTGTACTGAGCAGTAGAAAGTTAAATCCTAGGCTTTATATGGGTTCTTTTAAAACTCCAGGCCTGTAAATTGGAGGTTTGGTAAATCTATATTACCCATTATTATGGGTTTTGGAATAGATTTCTGGAATCTTAAAATTAAATTGTTGATGCTCAGATTAAGGAAATTACTCCATTAGCTCCTCCTGAATGCATTGATAGAGACCAGACTAGTCCTTTGTAATAGCTAAACTACTTGGTGACAACTTTAATGAGTATTCCAAGCTAATGATTTGCATAAAAAGTGTTTATTATCTTTTTATGCTGATTTCCATGTTTTAAAAATTCTATCATTTAATTTCCTCTTGTACTATGAAATTTTATATTTCAGAACAGTAGTGGTGATCACTTCATGTACAATTTTAGCAAGTATTGATTCGAACGATTAAAGACTTGAGATAGAATATAGTCTTGATAAACTGGTGTAATTTTACTTCTCATACTATATTTGATTGCGTTTTCATTATGGGTGGTTACAGGTCAATGATTGCTCTAAAAATTGAGAAATGAAGGCCGAGAGCTAAATGTGCTTTGTCCTATTGATATTGTTTGTCCTAATGATGAGATAACACAGTTTATGCGATTAGTTTCCATAGTATATACATTATGGTATACCATTTGCCACAACAAAGAGACAATCTGGCCTATTTAGATATCAAATAAGACCTTGGCGGGCCCTAAAGAGTTACTAGTGTAACTCACAGTGAGTTTCATAGAAAAATGATAACCCTAGTTTTGAGTTATATTTATATTTTTTAATGAATTCTAAAGAAGAAGCATTGGCTTTATAGGTGATTTATCTGATAATTCTTTCTCCACTTTGTTACCATAAATTCATATTTGAACTTCAACACTCATACAATGTTTCTTTATACTTTCTAACCACTCAGTTTACTAAGCTCTTAATAAGACTCCTTGACTCACATTTCCTTTCTCCTTTTCCTCATATTCTCTCGTATTGCCAAGTATATTGTTGCAGGATTTGGCAGGTTTTCCCAGGAGTTCTCTCATATTTTGATAGGTTTATATCAGAGTTTTGATAGAGTTCATTAAAAATATGCACTCTATCAAGAAACTATCCAAAATGCAAAAGCTTAAGCTATTAAATGAAGGATCATGAATGGTTTGGTTTTACTTCTACCACAAAACTTTAGGCAAGAGTCCTATGGGCTTGAAGTGATGACAATGCATCAGTCCACACGAAATGTCATACATATTAACAGGTTACCCTAAAGTTGAACACCAATAAGTGAATGTTTACGAAATAGTTATATCAGACACATACCTTTTCCAGAATAGTTTCAATCTGAAACTCATGTCTATGGTATTTGTAAATATAAGGACTTTCTTTTGGACCAACCCCAACTTCAACACAGCAAGGATGTAAAGTAACTTGTCACTGGTAGAACATGAGATCTGACACAAATATTTAATGAAAAAAGTTAAAAACTGATCAGTTCCATAGAAAAATGAGGAAAGATACAGCCATAATGAAAAAAAAAAAATCTAAAATCTATTGTGCAAGTTCATAGCTTTCAAACATGCTCTAGGTAGAAACATAACAGAGATTTAAATTCATAAAACAAACTTGAAATAATTTTTTTCTGGAACCACTGAACAACACACGAATTTTTAGTTTTTAAAGTGTTTAAATCCTTCTTCTCACTCAAATTAAAATTTTCCTTGCTAGAATGGTTCATTTCCTTCTAATAAAATGAAGAAAGAAGAAAGATCCCAAACAGAGAAAAATGGGTATGCGGTTCTCTATAGAAAGAAAGAAATTATGCAATATTTTGTGAAGATAGAACGAAGAATTAACTTAACTGCAATTAAGTTCACATGATAAAAAAGAAAGGTAGAAATACATTACCCAAAACTGCTGAACACTTTTAGGAATGATCTCATCCTTATTATTTCCCACTTCAGGCAAAGTCAAAATAAATGGGTTGTGCAGAATCAACTTCTTTAGTTTGTCAACATCCGCACTGCAGACAGTACGTTTGAAATAAATCAATGCACTAGATGAGATATTAAACAAATGAAGATAATATATCTAAGACTAACCCTAAAATAATGTCATTAATGTCATGAAATGGTGAATGAGCATACACAGGAAAACACTTTACCATTAAAATTTCACAGGAATAGTATTCCATTCAGCCTATAGGTAACATACAATATAATCTAAAAATACACTAGAAAAAATTAACATGTTGTTTTCAGTTTCATATGACGAAGATACAACAAGCAAGCACATCCTTGCATAGGGAACAAAAATGAAGCTATTCGCACTCATGCAAGCTAAACTCACACTATTGAATAAATTTTTACTAGCTAATCTTATTCCCATTATATGAATATGTGCAACAATTTTAGATTAATCAAAATGTATTTCATATCTCATTTATACACACCAAAATTGATGTAATAAGTATTTTAAAATATATGAATCTAAAGAACACATCGTTGAGCAAACTTTACAAAATTTGACACAAATAATGTAGGTAATAAGACGTAATAATCCAATGGCCAAATCAATTTAAAATAATTTATGAAAATCTATTGTTGGTGCAAAAGTAAGTATAAACCTCATATTAGAGTGACTGACTTGAGATTAAAACTGATAAAATATATTCACTTGAGGGCTTTTTTAGATCCCTCTCATTATCTTCTAACATATATTGGAAACACAAGATACATGGAACATCAAAGTCTGCACTAGACCTCTAGGTGCAGAAACTAGGTTACGACTCATTAATGGTCCTAGCAGACAAGCCTTAATGATGATATATAACAGTAATTATTCTAACAAACTGATATAATGATATAATTCAATGACCAGGCTAATGAAAAGAGCATTTTATGTAAAACTATTGATAGAGTAAAAAGTGAGTGAAACTTGTTAGTGAGAACTAATTACACCTTATTATATATGCACACATACATGTAAAGAGAGGGATGTGAAAATGACAGGAAACATGAAAAATATTATTAGTGGAAGAAACACCATAAATAGCACACCTTGATGTTGCAGACATAGAAGACACTGGCAACTTCTGGGAACATGAGGTGTTAAAAAGCTTTTAAATCATTCAATACCCATATGGATAGAAGAAGATCGGCCTGAAACATTATTTGAAACATTGATCATGGTGACAAAATACTAAAGCAAAGATCGTTCATTCAGCTACTTGAAATGTTAATAACTTGAATCATTAACCATAGCGTGAAAACAGGAAATCAATGAAAACCAGCAAGCCCAACAATATGTTGGATACCCAGTGCGTCATTAACACAGTTTCATATGCTCCGTGAATGTAAATCAACTTAAAACAAACAATTCACTACGTATGGTTTCACCTCATCAAGAACAAGAGTTTCAAGGGATTCGTTAATGGATGCCGCCTTAAGTATGCCACCGGACAAACACTTCGCTACGCAAGCAGGAGTGGAGATCAAAATATCAGGAGGTCCGGCCAATGCTGCCCGCTACAAACCCAATTCAGAGACAATTACAGCAAAGCACATTCTAAAACAAATGTAAACATAAACAGTGTAGCAGATGAAGAAACTAACTTCCTTCCTAAACGAAGGAACAATAATTTAGAAGATATAACCAACCAAGTCATTAGCAAGCATGTTGCTATTCAGCTGCACAACTTTCAGTTGAACTCTGCATAACTCCAACCACCCCCAAAAAAAACAGCGACAACACTTCCGCATACACCTGAAAATAATGGAAAAAAGAAATAAAAACCAAATTAAGTTATAACAGTTTTATTTTCTTTTAAAAGAGTAAGACAGAATCCGCAACCACAAAATGTAAACACACCTGTTGACACAGTTCGCGAGTAGGGACAAGAACAAAAGCATTGGGCGCTAGCTTCTTCTTTCCGTCACACTACGTAAACAGTTTCTTAGCAACGGAGAGAAGATACGTCTAAGGTCTTTCCGGAACACTGTTTTGGCGGCAACCAGTGCTACCTTCCTAGAGAAACAGAGCGAGTGAACAAGTTTAGGTTTCAAGTGAAGTTGAATGGTGGAATGGGAAAGGTGAAGAGAAGCTAGAAGAAGGTACCCGAATGAGTGGAATCGCGAAACGCCCTGAATTGGAGTGGTTTTCTATCTCTTCCTATCTCGTTCTTTTGTTAGGCCGAAGGGGCGAGCGTCCAAGCCGACGTTATTCGAAGCTTGGTTATCTGCTTCTTCTTCTCTTCTTTTTCTCTGTTCTCTTCGTGAACGTTTCTTTTC